ATAATAATATTTGTTTAGAACTGTTATATCCAAAATAAGGTTCGGACTGAAGAATAGCTGTCTAGGTGGGTTAGGTACGCGCCCTAGCCCTGTTGAAACGAAGACAAAGTGATTGGGTAAAACGACGGTTCTGGAACTCATCATAAATTTAAATGTAAATTGTTACCTAAACAAATACGACCACCCATCTCTCCAACCAATAATTGCTCAATTGTTCAAATCTAAATTACAATAAACGAGGAAGTTGATAAAGGATGCGAGAAAATTACCAATCACAACAAATAAATGTTATTATATCCTGTCTGGATAGATCACGCACAGATTCGTTCAAAAGATAATATTTATTTGCTTTATAACGACTCCAATTCTGGAAGAGTGCCTCAATTCAAAATCAAAAAATGCACAATTCCAGTCAATACAAGCAACAAAATCAAAAGGAAGAACAAAATGTACAACTAAAGGAATCAATAAGAACAAACTGCAGGTGTATACATAGGGGATTTTTGCACACAAAACATTCACAATGGATCTTACAATATCCACTGGATAACATTGTTATAACTTATGCCCTCGTGTTCTATTAATGTATAACGTAATGATACCGCCAATTATAGAACAGTGGTTTGTCAACCGGACCAATTACGCGTAAACCTGTACGAGCAGTCAAGATTCCTTATAGGTCCTTGTCCCCACCTACCACTTTCTGTTGAGTCCAGAACACCAGGCTCAGCTTCCGTTACATAAATAATGTATTTTAAAAAATACTGGGTTTATATACAAACCAAACAGACCACATCTCAACACAAAATAGAAAACAAAATTTGTACAAGATCTAGCCAAATGTAGCTGTGAATATGAGAGACTAAAACTAATAGACTGGGCGTAACTCGAGAATGCAAAATGGTATAATAATAGTCTATGGGTCAAAATAAAGCTTATAATAAGAGGAAGAAGAATATTCATAGTTTAGCTACTTAACAATTATACGACAAAAATACATGTATCGTATTGGTTCATAAATAGTTCTCAAAAGTTACCATCCATAGTTCTCGTCGGGATATAAAAAACATGTAATATAAAATTATACTACCTGTGACTAATAAACCAACTACAATGAGTTCACATAGTCGATGTCAGTGTATCCGATAGATTGGTGACCAACAAAGAATCAGAATGTGTTTTCCACGGTAACTTTGATTCTACAAACGGCTAGCGATCCCAAAAAGCGACATATTCGGAAACCATATAACACTTTGGAGTTACGTGGTCAGTACATTTACAAATACTGCCAAAGACCAAGACATAGAATGATATATTTTCATGCATCAGCAAATAATCGATATTACGAATTATTCGTGACGAGCTACAGTTTTTTTACAGCTAATGGGCATATATTAAGTTAAACCAACCACCATGTACATCACGAAAACGAGGAGAACAACTTTTTACTTATGTCCACAGCAAAACAATCAAATCGCCGCTTAAACGCCCACCACGTCAACCCCGTCTAATGAGCCTGTAGACTATCCCTATTACATGTGACCTGACAATTCAAGGACAGCATTTCCTATCATGTTAGTGAGACCACAACTCATGCTTGTTTTATTCACGCCAATAAGACACAAGATATTGGTCGGCATGTTTATGCGTTTTATTTAATGACTACAAATCCCTTAATTATTTGTACTGATCGAGTTGTTCGTTTTTACGTTTAGAAACAGATAAAGGTTGGAGTCAAGTTGTCCTTGTTCTTATGATTGCTCTCGTTACACAACTCTTACCTTATCCGATCGTACGAGTATTCATGGACTACCGATTGCGATTTATACTCTAACCTGCTTCACCATGATAAGTCTGACTTTCTTATTCTTTCGTTCACTGCCCCCTCTCTGTCCAGCAAAATTATCCATCTTAAAACCCTTTTATTCCATGTAAATCCAATCATTGTACTTATTACGGAAACGTGGTGTTATTCATCTATATCCGATCATTCCTTGAATGCAGATAACTACATTTTCTTTAGATGTTATGGAATAGGAGGCGGTACGATTATCTATGTCCGTTCAGACATTCAAGCATGCAAATTTGAGGATAAATCGCTTGATGCTGTAGACGACTCCACTTGGGTTACTGTAAACTGTGGATCCCAAAATTATTTACTTGTGGGATGCATATATAGACCACCTCATGCGGATACTAAGTTTGATAGATTACTAACAAACATCTTTTCCATTGCTTCCCATTAACCGCATACTTTTAAAATCATCGGAGGTGATTTTAATCTGCCAAAAATTACATGGGGCTTGACTCCGGTACCAGGTCGATATAACAAGCTAGTTGAAACATTAGAAATTTGTGGATGGGTTCAACAGGTTCGAAAACCGACCAGGGGGAATAATAAACTTGATTTAATGTTCACAATCAACATAGACTCTATCTCAGTGCATACCAGTCATGAGTTTTTTATGAGTGACCATAGAGTTGTATTGAGTATTATTCACTCTTTAAACGCCATACAATTGAACTCTAAAGCTTCATTGATGTACCAAAGCAGACATTTTGATCAACAAACATGGAAACGGACTGGAACTCTCATTCAATGTTTACCATGGGAAACTTATTTTACCACAAATAATGTTGACATTGCGCTTTCCAACCTATACCACAACGTGATATATTGTCTTGACTGCACTGCTCCAGTTATTGGCCGTGTGGCTTATAATGCTAATAGGGGCCAAAATACTTTTAAAAGGAAGCTGAGGAAATTAAAATGCCGCTACTACGAGCAGAATGATGTGTGTGCACTTCAGAGTATACTTAAATTAATCAACAGAAATGCTTCATCTAAACGTAAGTATTTTATGAATATAGAAAATAAAGCTCTACGTAGTAAAAGCCCAGAATTATCAATACTTCGGCTTTTTAAATCCCGTGTAAAGTCAAATTCCCTTGGCACGACTAAATTCTTCATAGTTAACGGAAGCATTGTTAACGACCCGAATACTATATGCGAACAATTCAGCAAGCACTTCTCGCAGTGCTACAAAACTGGAACTGGAAACTCCATCATTGCATTTCCAATGCCGACATCCAGACATCTGTCGAAAATTGATTTTACACCCTCCAACATCAAGCAGGCCATAGCTGCCCTGAAAAAGTCTTATGATGGTGGACCTGACGGGATACCTTCATCATTTGAGAAATATGGAAGTAGGGAATTTCCACTATTTTGTTTGAAACTTTTCAATCTATCTATGGAATATGGGATCTATCCATCTGTATGGAAAACATCCCTTATCACCCCTAGATTCAAAACAGGACCACGTGGTGATATTATTAACTATGGGCCAATAAATTTGACATCCGTGCTCTCAAAAACCATGAAGAAAATCATCCACAAGCAGCTATTATCATTTTTACTTTTGGCTAGTCTGATCAGCCCATCCCAACACGGGTTTATGGCTAAGCGCTCATGTTCCACATCGCACCTGGAGTTTTTTGATTTATCCGCAACAATTCTGGGTACCAGGTTTATCATTTGCGCTGTTGGTTGTCGAATCGCTGTGCAGCAGAGAGTGGTGTTTCTTCTCACACCTGTTAAAGTTACAACGCTTTGTCAACTTACATTCATTAACCTTATGTTCTTGCCTAAGACAGACAAAGCAGATACCCTTGCTTTTTGCATTAAAGACAGCGGTATTATTACGCGTTGGGTTAAATTTACTATTTTGTACGTAAATCACGCATCAAAACCACTGTTTCCATTTTAATTGAATTTATTTATGCTGAAGTGATATTGTACTTTAGTGCATTGACTTTGCTTATATATATATATATATATATATATATTTTTGCATCAAAGCATACTTGGTTGACTTTGACTTGATTTATACGCTTGAGGCTTGAAATGTTTTTACATATTCACTTTGGGTTACCATTTTTGGTTAACTTTTAGGATGGTCTGCCCTGCTTACAAATCTGGACAGCCATATTGCTTATTCCCTGTGGAAGAGGGAATGCATTGTGATAAGTGAGAAGAGGTTCCTCATGGTGTGTACATAGTCACACGGAGATCTCATCTCCAAGACCTGTACATGTTGCTGAGGAAACTTTTCTATCGTTGATCACGAACCTCAAACCAGGCCTTGATGGTTACATCCACGAATGCTGTCCTCTCTTGCGGACCACTCGCGACGCTCTTCAGCATTTTATTTTCACCTGCTCAACACCCTAGAGATAGGAAATATGCTATAGTCAGCCCCATATTTAAAGATATTTCGAGACAGACCGTATCTAACTACCTACCTGTCAGTTTAAGCAGCATAGTCGTTAAGTTACTTGAAAAGATATTTCGGGTCAAGTTATTAAGTTGCATAAGTAAGTACAGTCTGTTAACCCTTGCTCAACCAAATTATTGCGAGAGAGGATTGGACAGCAGCCCTGGAAAACGGACTGTCTGTCGATGTGATATCTATAGACTATAGAAAAACGTTTAACAATGTTTCACGCTTAGGGCTTATGCAGAAGCTATCGAGCTTCGGCATAACAAGTGTTGTACAGGAATGGATAGAAAACGTTTCATGTGACCGCAGAGAGAGAAAGAGAGTGTGGGTTAATGGAACACTATCTGAATGGAAGTTGTTCGAAAATGGTGTACTCCAAGGCACCACCTTAGGTCCATTACATTTCCTCTACGTCAATGAATTACCTCTATTGCTTTGGTCGTCGACATTAATGTTTGTGGATGACGTCAAAATCTAAAGAACAGAATGACTTGGAAGTAATAATGAGTCACGGCTTGAAAACAACTGCGCATTGCAGCACAGCCGCCGCTTAGTGGTTAGTGACTGGGACGCCATGCACGAACATTTGATGTCAACCCCATCAGTGAACATTTTCAGGTGGAAGTTGGACCTTCACTAAAATAAACATTGTCAGGATTAACACGGGTACATCAAACTACTATTCTTATTACTAAAGACTATTCTTATAACTGAGTGCAAAATATTGCGCGCAATTCTGCTGTTGCGTTACACGTATTCTGATGGTGTTTCTAATAGAATGTATCCTTCTCATTACTCTGTGGAGTGGGGTCAGCTGCCTAGAGATACCTCCACATAGGACATCAAAACTTCCAGTCATAAAAGATGATCAAATCAAATCGACCAAGGAAGTTAATTCAGCATGGAATTTGTTTTTATCTGGATTTTCGTCTTCATTTTACGTTATTATAATATCTGAAATTGGTGATAAAACATTTTTCATCGCTGCTATTATGTCTATGCAACATCCACGAGCTTTAGTTTATTGTGGAGCGATGCTCGCTCTTATCACCATGACAATGTTGTCGGGTAGTGATATCTATTCCTAACTGTTTTCTTACAGCGTTACTTGGTTACGCAACAACAATCATCCCGCGATTTGTAACCTTGTATTTATCCGGTGCTTTATTTTTTATATTCGGCCTAAAAATGCTCTATGAAGGTAACGTTCGACAAGCTTCATAAGTGCTTAGCATATACTATGTCTTCCAGTACAGCCAAAGAAGAGTTCGATGAAGTTCATATGCAACTCACACAGTCTAAAGCAGATGATATAGAAACTGGTCGTTCAGCCCCAGACTCTCCCCAGGGATTTCCCTCCAAATTACTTACGATCACAGGAAACATATTGACTCCAATCTTTGTGGAAGCTTTTGTGCTCACATTTTTTGCAGAATGGGGTGATAGGTCTCAGATAACTACAATTGTTCTTGCAGCTACAAAGGTAAGTGACCACCTCGACACCACAAGTTAGTTTTGTTAACATAACGTTCACTAATAAATTTGCATAAATTAAATATCCAGCTATCTTTAGTAACATATTTCTTAAAATTCTTTAAAAGTACATGAAAATTCTGGATTTTTCTCGTCCCTTATGAGGAAAGCAAATGCAGAATATTCTCACTCCTGACTGAGTTGTGGGTTTATTGAAAATGACATAACGTACATTGTCACGCGTACTGTTAGTGAGGGTAGTTGTCATTTACTCGTTGCCCAAACATTATTGCCGTTACGCCTCTGTACATTTCGAAGTATGACCACGCCCTCGGGTCTTACGTTGCTGTTCTTAGGCCTACTGTTTTTCAACTGATTTACCTGGCATAGTAGAAACTAAAGGAAAAATTGTTCCAGCCAACGTAGCTCTGTTGGATCATTAAGATATAGAGCTTGACCATCACCTCAAGATAGAAGTTATAGTCGTGATGTCTACAATGTAGTTTACCCTCTAACTAGTTGTCATACTTATGTAACCTGCCAGTTCTTGCCGTTTTATCCCCGCTTTGAACAGCATGATTTTACTCTACCCATAGGTAGAACACTTAGCTTAATCTAAATAATGTATATTTCCAATAAATCCCCTTTTCCTACACATTTCCAAAACTGTTGGTTTTGCTGTATCTATTACATCTGTTTATTTTAAAATAATTGATTAGTCTTTGCTCTGGTGTCAAGTCTGAAATGTCTTTCCGTAATCTCTGCCTACACACTGACAGATTGTAGCTCAGATTAAATCGGAGATGAGTTCCACCACCAGTAATGTGATCTCATGAAATCGCATTCGGTAATGCGAGCCGGAGACTTGGATGTGTAGTTCGTATCTAGGCACATTATTTATATTTATTTATTTGTTTGTTGGAACACAAATATTGGTACAAGGGGGCACCAGATATATATGAGCCACACAAAACAATGAGAATGGGAAGAGAGAAAGTAGGGAGCTTAAAAGAAAAATAAAGAACAATAACGACTACAGATTAGTGTATGGTAGTGTAATATTAATAATAATAGTGGGGGAAACGCAAAGGTACAACCAGAAGGATTCTTTCAGTTAAGAAAGTTACAACCACTTTTTATGAAGAAAGTAAAGGAAGGTTACAGCACGATCGCCACTGGCTTCTATTCCGAGCCATATCTGATAACGTCCCTACCCATTGTGTTGCACTATCTCTCAGACCCAGCCAGGGAGTCGAGAAGGACTAACAGAAGCCAACCTTTTGCAGCTTTCTTTCATACCACGACACAATGTCATACACTGACCACCTCTCCGCCTTTTCCAACCAGTCCCAGAGTCGGCAAATAATGCACGATGTGGAATTCTCTGGGACGACATTCGTAGAACATGTCCAAGCCACCGAAGTCGATGTTTCAAGATAATGACAGCAATAGACTTATCGTCTCTGTGCCCGAACACACGATGCTGAACCTCTGCACTACTAACATGGTGTTGCCACTGGATGTCATCAATCCTTCGGAGACAACGATGATAACACATATAGTTGTTTAACATCCTCAACTCGAAGAGGCCAGGTTTCACAAGCACAGAGCAAAACTACTCTCGCCGACGCATTGTAAATCCGACCTTGTACAGCCTGGCTTCTGTTGGTCCTTCTAGACTCCCTGTATGAGGTCCGAGAGATGGTGCGACATAGTGGCTAGAGACGTTATCAGAATAGAAGCCAGTGGCGATCCTGCTGTAACCTTCTTTTACTTTCATAAAAAGTGGTTGTGTCCTCCTTAACTGAAAGATTTCTTCTGATTGTACCTTTCCGTTCCCCCATTTTTACCATTATTATTATTACACCACCTTACATCAATCTCTTCGTTATTATTCTCTCTTTTTTTCTTTTCTTTCCCCCAAATTCTCATTGTTTTGTGTGGCGCATTCTTGTACCAATATTTATGTGTTCAAATAAATAAATAAATGATGCGTATAGTTTTATCGTATAACTGTTAATTAACTAAACTATTCATATTGATCTCTTCCTCTTATCATAAGCTTCATTTTAACCTATGGACTGTTATTATACGATTTTTCATTTTTGAATTATTCCCTGTCTATTAATCACTACCTCCCACGTTCACAGCCACATTTGGCCAAATCTTATATAAATGTTGTTTCCTATTTTATGGTGCGATGTGGTCTGTTTGATTGGTATATAAACTCAGTATGTTTGAAACATAATGATTCATATAGCAGAGGCTCGGATCGGCGTTCTGGAATTAACTGGCTGGGCTAGACAGGAAGCGGGACCACTAAGGACTCTAGACTGCTCATACGGGTTTACGTGTCACTGATACGATCGGTAATTCACTGCTCCCTAATTGGCGGTGACAAGATATAACAAGTTTCTTAATCGGGAAGTCACCACCATCTTTAAAAAGAGCCGGAGGTAAGTCATCTGGGCCCGGTGATTTGTAGCGCTTCAAGAGTTTGAGTCCCTTGCAGATTTCCGCCCCTATCGTCCAGGACGTCGACGGATGTCAGTGACTGGCACCCGTCATCCTCACAGATTGCTTCGCTCACATCAGACTTCTTGTTGCCAGTGGCTCGGATGAGTTGAAATAGCTTCGGGTAGTTACCAGATGCAGCTGCTGCTTCCAGCTCATTAGCACGCTCCGACCACCAGGCTTCTCGGTCCTTACGCAAGCTTTGCCCGATTTCATTACGTAACAGTCGTCGTTTGTGGTCAAACTCACGGTCACCTGGAGTAGACCGACGGGTTTCAATGAGTTGTAGGAGCCTAAAGAAACCCAGTGCTCATAAGCGGGACGTTTCGCAAAGCCGCAAGCGTCTTTACTCGCCACTTTGATGGCGTCATGAAGTTGCTCATCTATAATTTTCGGTGGAGTGGTAGCTAGCCTAGAAGCTATCTCGGTTCGATACTTACTTGCAACAGAAGTTGCAACCAACTTGCTGACATCAATCCTTTGGTGGCGGTCACTTCGTTGGCCACTGAAAAGTAAGGTAAGATTGCCGCAGACCAGGGCATGACCGGAGTCCAGATAGGTACTCCAAAAGGAGCGGCAGTCTTGTACACAACCACGCCAGCGGTAGCTGATCGCGATGTGATCAATCTGAGTCCAGGCTTGGGATGCAGAGGGAGGACGCCAGGTGGCACATCGGCGATAACTGTGCCGAAAGTTAGTGCTAGCCAAAAACAGATTGTGGTCTGTGCACAGTTGCAGTAGACGGTCCCCGTTATCTGTCCTGCGACCAACAAGTCCCCATCGGCCACCTAAACCACTCTCTTCTGTGTCTAGACGCTCGACCCGAGCATTCAAGTCTCCGGCTAGTACTACAATATCTGTCGAACACACTTTCTGGAGAAGAACATATAACTGGTGGTAAAACTCATCCTTGATTGCATCTGGGCCGCAATCTGTCGGGACATAGGCGGAGATGACGAAAAGACATCGTTTCTCACGCCGATTTCTTCTCACTTTGATGGAACTTTCTAATATAACAGCACATAACTGACTGTTAATGAGGATCCAATCGATTAGTGCTGCCTCAGCTCTAGCGCTTAGTGCGACACCAACGCCAGCAAGACCAGACGAAGATGCCACAAGGTCCCCGGATAGACGCACGTAAGACAAACTTTTTTAAGCAACAGATGGAGAGCGGATTTGTAGTACTTCACCAGAGTCTTGAATGCGGGTCTCGGATAGACAACAAACGTCAATGTTAAGACTTTCTAAAGATATAGCCACCTCTGTCTGTTGTCCGATCTGCATTAGTGTGCAAACGTTGGAGGAAGCCAGTTTGAATGACGCATGTGGTTTCAGAAAAGCTGTTTCAGTATTCGTATTTAGTGGTAACATTCAATTTTCAACCAGTCAGTGACTCGTGAACTTTAGATAGAACCGAGTTTCCACCATAGGCAAGCTGCTGTTTAAGTCGAAAAATAAGGATAAACAAAGTGGGAATAAAAGAGAGTGAATAAGTGACGTAGTAAAAAATAACAATAATAATAATGTGAATTGTTTGACTGTTAATCGAAACGAAAGTAGTATTTTCAGTAGATATCATCATTTCATTCTATTTGACGATATCTACTGAAAATATTAGGCACATAGGAAAGTTGTGTAGGCACCCAACAGGGACTCGACGGTCTCACATCAGATAACGGTGAGCTTTGCATAGACTACATCCTGTTTTTGGCTAGCACCAATTTTCGACACAGTCATCGTCAATTTGCTACCTGATATCCTTCCTCCTTAATCGAAGCTTGGACTTAGATTTGTCACACTGCTATCAGACCTCACTCATGTGGATGTTTACAAGACTCCCGCTCATTTATAAGTACCTAACCGGACTCTGATTATGGCCTGGTTTTCAGCAAGCCTATCTAGCGTTTCGATGACCAGTAAACATCTTGTCCTAGACGGATTGACATGAGAAATTTGGTTGTAGCTACCGTTGCAATCAATTATCAAGCCCAGCTATCAACCTACTAAAAGGTGTAGATGAACACTGTATGCATTTTTGTAAGTCTGTGAAGGTAAATGGCAGGTAAAGTCACTTACGGCTTCTCAAAACGTCCTGCTTATAAACACTTGTTTTCTGCAGACTCTTTCGCACTCCTTTTGACACCTCGATCTACGGATAACCTCAACTTTGATGATGCTACATACAGATAACTCCAGGAAATGTTGAGTAAGGGCTAATAAACTTGTTCGGAGCTTGCTTACGAGTTGGGAACAACAGCCGAATCTTATAACTCCCAAGACATATTCTGAATCATCCGAATCATTGCATAAAAAGGCGTGGTGTCAGTAAATTTTTGTGTAAAGTTAGTGGTATACCGATTGGTAACGTCCGAAGGTATCTTGGACAGTAGACCGAGTTTTCTAAGAAAACGTTCAGCTGGCTTTTTGCCGCTAACAAATTCGACCAAACTGTCTTCTCTGTCGTGGACGATGACAACCAGTCCACCTAACAAAGCGAAGGTTCAGAAGGAACTCCAACTTAATAATCGCTACCATTCGCCAGTTCCAGTCTATCTATCCCTGGCTCTTTTTAAAATAGGTGTCAAACGTCTGGTCAGAGAAATGATACGGATGTTTAGAAAAATTTGTTGGACCGAGAATGTAGTATAGCTGCTCATGTATATTTCAGTTTGTTCATATTAAGTTTGGTTAAGCCCTTTTATTAACTTATTTAACAGACAGTCATTCGTACAACAACAACTTATCTATACCATTGTATCTTTATTATTGTTTCGCTTGTGTGAATATGTATGCTTAAGCACTGTTTACCGCCTACGCACATATTCATTCTGATAGCTTTAGTGTTAGTCGCTTAAGTGATTCGATGACGCATTCATTTTCCTATGTATATACATTTACATTTTAATCTTATTCATTAACTCACTCGCTCGCTTGCTCTTCGGCACTCGTATATCATTCTTGCTTCGTGTGACTGGGGTTTTGATGGTCTGTGCGTGGTGCAATGACAAGCGTAATCAACGCTTCGCATTAGTAATCTGATTTATGCACCGCTGGGCGTTATCTAGTAACGGTTACCAGGACGAGCAGTATACGAAGTTAAATAATCATACCGAATACCGACCACCACAGTAGCTTCAGACTTTATCAGATGTGGCTTAGGATAGAAACTAATGGCGATCCTGGTGTTTTTACATAACAATGAAAGGAACTCCCTTAACTAAAATAAGTCTCTCTCGGTTTTTCCTAACTAAATTGTACCCCTCTATTTCTTCACCATGTTATCTCTATATTTGTGTGATGCATACTTTTCTTGGTTCCTTGTTGTACCACAATGTATTTGCATTAAATAAGAAGCAGATAGCAAAAAAAATTATTTTCATACCTTTTCATACATTTTCTGAGAAGCTTTCTAATCAGGCTTTGAAAAACTTAATAATTCAGGATTTTACTACAGTAGGCTTTTTACGATTTTAGTAGTAGTGCTTTCACTGGCACATTGTTCTCAGCATTTTCTTTTCTGATTTTCGTTTTCATCTTTAGAGTGCTTTGGGTGTAATCGTAGGTGGAGTTGTTGGTCATGCTTTATGCACAGGTTTAGCTGTCCTTATGGGTCGTTTTGTCGCTCAACGCATTCCTGTACAGTGGAGTAAGTAAATACTTGATTCTCAGAAATTCAGTATCAAATACATATCTCGATTATGTTTTCATAATTTCCATGGTCCATTATCTATTACTTGCTTGGTGAAAATTCAAAAGTAATCAGTTTGACTCATTGAATCCATCAAATCTCTAAATCTCCTTAGAAGGAACGCTTTTAAAACATTACAGCAGAGTGTAAACTTATAATTAATAGAAATCCCGTATCATGATTGATTAATGTCCTTTTCAGTGATTAAAGCATGTAACCCAGAATCAAAGGACTGTCTACACATATATCAAAAGCAAAGAGCTACTACTGAAGCTAGGCTGAATAAATATACCACAGTGATGGAACGTGACTCAGACCACCACAACCTTTTTAATATGTTATTAAGCAGCACATTTAAAATGTAAGTAATCATATCCGATGTTAATTATATAAATTATAAGAGTCAGCTATTGAAGTGATCAAAAATATTACCTCTAAACCTTCCGCCTTCCTGATATTAAGTATATGCCCGTAAATTAGGGCAAAAGAATATCTGATCACTTAAGGCTATGAGCATGATAGATTTAGAAATAAACTATAACTTTCAACTTTTTAAGCACAAGTTTGAATTCTTCATTGTATTTATATTTTACCTCATATTCATTGTTTTAGACCGTTTTTTTTGTCGATTGTGATTTTTTAATGCCTCAGTCTAATAGGATTGACGGTTTAGTACGCATTCTTAATTCTTTTAACTCCGTGTTATCCTAATTTATGCTTAGTGACGGTTGATCAGACGTGAAGCCGTTCAGCTTCCAGCCACTAATTTGGAGGTTTAAACTTTGAGCAGCTAGAAAGTACCACTAGCTCGCACACTTATGTTGTGCCTCGGGGCCAAATGTATGGATCTGCATTTATTGACTGAGTTAATTACTATTAATGTCTTAGGTAATGATATATTAGTGTAGAGCTCATTTTTCTAAAATTTTAGTGCACTGAAGATATTACAAAAGTTTGTAGAACAAACGTTTCTACTATCTCACGATTATACAAGATTTTTTTGAATTGATGGCACTTTCCATGGAGTATGCGAAATTGATTCACAGGTCTTTCTATTTGGATGAAGTTCATAACATAAAGTCTCTGAAATTTGTGGTGTTTGTATCGAGATTGAAGATGATAGCAATATATGAATATTTGGAGAGATAGTAGAAGGATGTGATATCGTATGAGTGGTCGTCCATCTCAATTAAGATTTTATTTTTTAAAGTGACTAAATCTGGTTGATACTTTGCATAAAAGCGAGTCACTTTGAGTTTTCATGGTCTGAACCATGAAAAAAAGAAAGGGTAAATGAGGAAATGGTACAGGCAACTATACACATAACTAGCATATTTGTGTATCATTTCAAGTTGTGACACTTCACATCAACATAATACAAGAAAATAAACGGTTAGAATGTAAAAGGAGTGAAAACAATTATACCGACACACTCAATTATTTCAGTTGCATTAAACTGAACATATATTCACACGGTCCCTGAAGGAGCGTTTATTAGTAAGAAGGTAAGTAATGAATTCTAAACATCTTATCACTCTCATTCAATGTATAGTGAGAACACTATGTGTTAAACATATACATATCTAAGAGGAATTTGTCTTCACTTACTTGAGGTATGGTCAAGTAATCTTCGACTGTAAGACTGTTCCATGAGAAGTCGTAGAAAGAAAGTCTTACCCTTAAAAACTTATTTAGAACAAAAACGAATTAAAACGAGGAAAGTTAAAGTTTCTGACAAATAGTAATCCCTGATAACTTACCATAAATTCTAATACGGGTGTTGTAAAAATTTTACAATATTATCACAAACTTATTCAATACTCATTTTCATAAATCATTTATAGATGACATCCATTTAGTAAGCATAACTGATGTGACCACTTGTTTACTGTGATTCTTGTTAGTCCTGTAATTTAAGAATGTTGTCATAAAAAATGTTTTTTTGTAACCTGACGACGGAGCTGTCTTACCGTTTTGATATTTCTCTCATTTTTTTTCACTGTTTGGGAATTGTTACGATGTGTGAAAATCCATGTTTTATTTTCTCTCTACTTCATATATATTGTTAATTATGTAAGTTTTCTTTTATAACTTTTCTTTTTTAATATCTAGTTACATTTATCGGAGGTGTGACATTTATAATATTTGCGTTCAGTGTATTTTTTGGGAATCCAGACACAATGTCTTAACTTTAACGTTTGTAATCATCAGTTATTTTTTTTAACAAATATATATATATATATATATATATAATAACTTATTTTCAGTTTGTATTGGTTAATAATATTTTTGAAGCACTTTGAAATTGATATTACTCACGGTATATTTGTGTTATTTGTACAACTGTCCAATTATTCCTAAAATTTCTTTCATTTCAGATAAATTTATTCTTTTCCCATGTTTCTCATATTATGTTTATAAATAAAAGGTCTCTTTATCTAACTGAATGTCAGATATTATATAATTGTGATTACATAAGAAACAGACAATAAGCTGTTTTCTTTTGCTTTCTGTACATTCCTTTTATATCTAGTATTCTATGTACTTCTCTATGTAATTTCTTTTTGGTCAATTCTTTATTTTTTTCTTCTTTCAATACATCACTTCGGTAATATTTCTTATGCATTAATATTCTTTATGTAAAATGATCAGTTTATTTTTCTCTACAAACTAACTATATTTTGGTAATGTTAAATATGTTTGAAGAAAGTATTAGTAAATCGAATAATAAACATTGTAGTTTGTTGAATAGAAATTGACATTTACATTGTATTTTCATTGTGTTGTTTACAAGTTTATTGCCTTTTTGTATTGCTACTAACTAAATAGGAAATTTAAGAGAAAAAGAAAATGAAATTGTGTAATAAAATACATACGTTATGTAGTTTTATGGATTTTGAAAATAAATTCTTTTCTTTTTTTTTTCCTATAAACACATTGAATGCTTTAATCTCAATCAGTATTCATAGTATTTAATTGAGTATCCAGAAAAGAAATTGTTTTATTTAAAGGTTTAAGTAGATTGTTAATTGATTTTTTGTGATAATCTATCCTGTTGATAATATGAACTCCTTTTTAATGTTTGTATAGATATGCATCTAATACAATTATTAGATCTCGAACAAAACAATGTAATTTGATATGTCAGTAATAATAGAAGTGAATACAGTGATCTTGAGTGCTGTTAGAGGTATAAGGGCGGTTATCACTTCCCGGTTGCCCACACCGTGGAAGGGTTGTTCAGGAGGTACCTGAAAAGGAAATTGGATCAGAGGTAGTCTTATTGACTTGAGAGCGTGACCGCAGTGCCTAACGGACGACTGCTTGAGGTCGGTCACACACGACCTTTTTATAGGTAGTTTTTGTGTTAGCTCCGTACTTGTTGAGACCTTACCGCCGGAGACGGATATCCGTGGGATAAGGCGAGGTGTGCATTTTTAGGGTCGACTTTTTCTAACCTCACCCCTTCTTGTGGGAAGGCAGCATCGCTGTTATGCTGGTTGTCTGAAGAGAACACCTTACTGTTGTCACACCTCTGTACAGTCAGCAGTATGGCTTCGCTTTCGGACCTTGGGTTTGTTGCTTTTAGTCTTACCGCTCTTCAACCGACCTGTCTAACATGGTAGGACCTTGAGGAACGGTTGTTCCAGCCAGTATAGCTCGGTTGCTTCATCACGATAGGCAAGCCCGACCACCACGTCAATGTAGCAACAACGGTCGGGAGTAATAATAGATAATACTTATGAAATTGTAAACTATGAAAGTTTTTCAAAGAATGATTTTATTGCCTTGAAAAAAAAGATAATCATATGAAAAGCACTATTGATAATATACTATTTTCGTAGCCTTCAAATGAAGACAACAAATTATCTCATTAAAAAAGAATCTGAAGTAAATAGTAAGGAAAAAGGGTCAAAACTAACCAGTCTATTACATATGAAATGACTCCGAAATTTTCGAGATTAAAAAGTGGTTAGTATTATAGTAGTATTAAATAACCAGACAACAATTCTACATCTTGGTTGCGGCTAGACAATCGCGTCTTAACAGATGAGCTAGCTCTTCTAGCTCATGTACACCAACAAACGCCGGTGAAGACAGCCAGTGTGGCAACAGCCTCTGCAGAAGTGAGTTTCAGCATACACAAGGGAAAAAGCAACATAGTGAGCACCGACCTAATCACACTTGATGGAGAAGCTCTGGAATAAGTCAAAACATTCACATATCTGGGAAGCATAATCGATAAGCAGGAAGGGTCAGATGCAAATGTGACAGCAAGGGTGGCATCACTACAGTTGAAGAATATATGGAACTCGGAACTACTATCAACCAACATCAAAGTCAGAATCTTCAGTACTAACTTAAATGCAATTCTGCTGTATGGAGCTAAGACTGGGGGATATAATTTATCTTATAGATACTCTACCGCAACCTTAAACAATACTGACGACTCAGAGTCTATGTGAAAGCAATCATCAGAACAAGGACAACTTGGCTCCAACCTTTATCTGTTTCTAAACGTAAAAACGAACAACTCGATCAGTACAAATAATTAAGGGATTTGTAGTCATTAAATAAAACGCATAAACATGCCGACCAATATCTTGTGTCTTATTGGCGTGAATAAAACAAGCATGAGTTGTGGTCTCACTAACATGATAGGAAATGCTGTCCTTGAATTGTCAGGTCACATGTAATAGGGATAGTCTACAGGCTCATTAGACGGGGTTGACGTGGTGGGCGTTTAAGCAGCGATTTGATTGTTTTGCTGTGGACATTACTAACAGATACATGGAAAATCACTGCAACCACCATCAAGAACCCACGGGTATTTATAAATAATAATAAGATACTCCATGTCCGTTGGTTAGATACCCATCAGCAACAACCTGGTGTGACAGAGAACAAACCAACGTCCAGCTGAAGACGAAACTAGAAAAAGACGCTTGAGGTAGATAGGAAATACACTGCGGAGGTCGCCAAACTGCATTACAAGACAGGCGCTAACTTGGAATCCTTAAGAGAAGAGGAAAAGAGGCAGACTCAAGAACACATGGCACCGGAAACTGAAGGAAGACGTCAAAAGAATGAAAAGCAACAGAAAACTACTGGAAGGGATAGCCTTGCTCATTATCATTTGGAAGACACTAGTCAGCAACAAATGTTTCACTAGGGGTAACCGGTTTAGATAAGTAAGTAAGTAGATAAGTAGGTGTGATAAGTAGAAATATTCAAATATGCTAACTAAGGACTTCCGAGATAGTGCAATTTGAGTCAAGTGGAACTAGATGAACACAAACGAACGTATTATATTTGAAATTCGTAACGGGAATGCAATCAAGTACTAAGGAATCATTAGTTCATACAAATACCACATTGAGTAGATAAGTAAGTATGTGAGTAAGTCTCTCTATTCCTCATTTAGAATTCTCCTAGTTATATCTCCATAATAACATTATCTTCGGACGATGAATGAGTGGTAACTTCCATGGATGAATTAAAGGGTACTGTTATATGTATTTTTATACTATGTTTACAATTATAAGTAACTAGATCATTCACGTAATCATATTCCTTTTCATTTGACCCATTAACTACTGTTATACGACTTACTGTTCTTGATTTCTTCCAAACCTATTAGTTACACTCTCCTATATTTAGAGCCCTTTTCGGACTGACCTTGCATAATAATTATTTTTCATTCGTGTTGTGGTCTGGTCTGTGTGTACATAAGCCATATATGCCCGAAATATTCGATTCCTATAGCGGAGGCTGATATTTGTGTTGTAGACCAAATTGGCTGGACTAGTTGAGAAGCCGTTATACAGAGGACTAATAATGATTCAGAAATGACTCTAGATCGCTAATGCTGGTTGCTGTCATTGGTTTAGCACAGAGACAATGTCGTATAAATCTGTATTTCTAATGGCGATTCGACGAGACTATAATTTATGGACGAATCACTCAGATTTAGGACAACAGGTCTTGAATTTTGGCGCGAAATTCATACATCCACTTGGGTAAATAGCGTTTTCGCATTTTAGCTGATGTTATTTCGTCATGAAAACCCTAAATCTAATTCCTAACTCTAACTATCAACTGTAAATCATAATCCTTACTCTTCACACAGATTTATAAACCTCATTTAACCTTAGTAGGTAGGTGGATATTCTCAAGGTCATTTTGACGTCGCTCGAATGTTGTCCACAATTTCTGGTTTCATCGGAGATTTTTTCACGTAATGTTTGGCGGGCCATAGGACATAACGCGTAGTGAAATACACTTGTATGAGGGATGATATAGCGTGATATCTACTAACAATTTCGCTTGTCAATAACAGGTTCCTTAAAGCATATACAAAACCTTGCTTCTTTCAGTGTGTCAGTTACTTTGAACTTGTATGTCCACTAAATAAAGCTGCTTAAATTTTGCTATTAAATAACGTTCACTGCATAACCTAATCAAAAATATTAAGGAAAATAGGGTAAGAATGTAGTATAAGAACGGGTTCAAAACTAAACAGCTTTCTTAAATAGATAGTTTATGAGAAAAAAACAAAAATATTACAAAATGTAGACGGATTTTACACAGCTAATGAATTTATCAACATCTTTCATAGATCGCCCTGCCTGTAAATTGAAATAACAGCCACGTATAAATTCCTTCTTACACACGAAGATTATTCATATTCCCCGAACCTTTGAAATAACCCACAGAAAATTTTAAGTCCCTTCATAGTTCTTGGTTAGAGTTAGATATTTAGGGTTAGGAGTAGGGGTTTATGATTAGGGTTTCGTCAAATGCTGACATTAGCTGTAATATGAAAATGCCCTATAGCTTAATGAAAAATGAAGGTGCTGTATGATTAGTTCGTCTATATAATGTAGGGCCACTTGGGTAAGGATTTTCTCAAGATCAAGTGTTTAAGGTTACGATTAATGAATACGTTAATTTTCCTGATATTTACAATCTATAGAAAAGTGATTGAGCATTCGATACATTTAACATCATTTTTACTCTGTGGTGACATAAAATAACTTGTTGCTATCGATTTAAATGTTTTGAGCAGTATACAATGGTATTTCCGCTTATTGTTATACGTGATACTCAAATTGCGCTCAAAAACCTAAACGTTGAATTTTGGACTCTGTTTTTTTATTCTAACACCGAATGACCTCAGACCTGTTCTTGCATATATACATATATATACTTATGATTGATAACTTTTATCATCCCAATTCTTTTCATTCGTCTATGTCAACTGTTTCACACTAGATCTTACCTCAATGTAAACTTTTAATTCATATTTGATTGTAAGCAGCTGATTAGAAAACACGAAATATAATAAATTCTCCATCCATGTTTGTGCTGGCTTTATTTAAATTCATAAAGGGAACTAATTGCATGAAATTTTATACTCTTATTGACCCGTCTCTATATTACGCTTTTACCGAAAATAGTAGGCTGAAATTATAAGTATTAAGAGCTTGAACCACAAATGATTACGTTTTTTGTACTGTTTATCTGGTAATGGTATTCGAAGTTTCACTGATATTATTTCGTGAGATATTAACTAATGCATACGTTTTATATCATGCTTAGCATATAAATGAAACCTATTATTTATTACGACTGAGTGTATCTGTGATTAAGTTCCATAACTTAATTAACTAGTATCTGTCGATAAATTTGATCTTCTTGAATGAATCTGCTTATACTGTATATGTCTATATGTTGGTTATAGGCCCATGTTATAAAAACAGTCATTCAATGGGTTACATGAAGTGTATGAATTTAATCTATAAACAATCACAATCATAAATTTTATTTACATGTAAGTGTTTATGTAAACATAATAAGTTAGATTGAATAATTTTTCCATAAATGAAAATTACTGGGACATATTTCACAAATTTATTGATACTTGTATGCTGTCTAAACATTAAGAAAATGAAGAGCAGCAAAATATTTTTCTATCATCTCCATCAGTTTGTTCAAGATTTCAAAATAAATATTTTTAAACTTCATTAGAGACAATCTTATTGTTCTCTTTAACAAGATGAACAGGTTCATGCCAAAACATGCCTTCGTGTCACATGAAAACCTTGTGTAGTCAAGAGTGAAATCAACAGCAACCATACGATAAAGGTGAAATGATCAAGATT